GACGATGATGATGATGATGATGGTGATGACGGTGGTGATGATGATTTTGATGATGGTGATGACGATGATGATGAAGATGCATGATGAATGATGAATGATGATGATGATGATGATGACGATGACATCATGATGATGATGTGGACAAACGGCACATGCCTTTATAGTTGCTCCCGGCAAATTATATGACGCGCACCAATGCAACTCGAGGCATCTGGAACCGCAAGCGTGGGTGAGAGGGAAATCGAATCTGGCCTCTGCACACATGTTACGAGGGGATACTGCGCAGATGCTTCCTTATCCTCTGCCCGAGAACCTTACCCTATACACCTCTGGTGTGGAAGGGTCTACACAAACGCACCCCGACTAAAGCTGAAATCCCATAAGCGCACGAAAGGCTAGCGCTCGAAACCCTGAATCCTTTAAACCAAGTCCCTAAGCTCCAAGTTCTTTTCAACCCAGCACACACAGCCCAAGGGATTTTCGACCATGGATGGCCAAGCATCGGATTTGGACAAGGACTCGTGCGCGCTGTATGCCTCCATGCGCTGAAGGAGTCGGTTTAGGGTTTAGGGTTTGGGATTTAGAGTTTAGGGTTTATGAAACATGCAGTTGTCTCACCAGCCAGATGCATAATCTGGAAACAACAGAATGGCTTTTCGTTTTCAAAACCCAATGTTGCGTCACCCTCTCACATCACCTAAGACCCAAACCCTGAACCCTCAACCCTGAACGCTCCAACGCTCAACCCCAAACCCTGAACTCTAAACCCACAACATCTAGTTCTACACAATCCAAGACGAGACCTGTTCGACTGTTAGACCGAACTGTGTGCAGCTCAAGGTTCAGGGGTTTTTGGGATTTCGGTCTATGGGGTTAAGGGTTTACATGGGTTTAGAGTTTAGAACAGAACTTGGGGTTCAGGGTTTAGGGATTTAGAATCTACCACATGGGGTCATGCGGTTCGGACATGAGACTATAAAGAGTTCAAGAGGTTTTGAGGTTGACATTATGGCACACGGTCTACGCCTCGAACAGGCTTTAATCAACCTCCCCCCCTCCAAAAAAAAAAGAAACATCTCCACCCTAAACCCTAAACTCTCAATCCTAACTTGGGCTCTATTAAGCCTAGAGTCCGTGGTCTGCAACCCTACAACCCGAAGCCTAAGCCGTGAAGTTTAGGATTTGGGGTTTATGGTTTACGGCTTAGCCTAAAGTCCTTTTGCCTTAAGCCGTAGCTACCCTGCAATGACCCCGCCAGTCAGTGGCGGAGAACCACACGCAAGTACTCAACGGTGACGGTAGTGACATCGGAGATCTCGTCTCTGAGCTGCTGCATGTTTGAATCGATCTTCTATGTTTGAACCCTGCGCTCACAAGACATTCTTCTTGGAGAAGTGCAGCCAATTCTGACTTGGAAATCTCCTGGTTCAATTCCTCGCTGAGCCTGAGCTTCTCGCCCTTGAGCCGCTGAGCGAACTTCTCCTTCTCGGACGCCTTCTTCGACTGCTCATTGGCCAGTGCCCATTTCACCGTGGCGCCTGATGTAAGAGTCGAATATGGGGTGAGGTGCACCGTCTTGAGAAGTCAGCCTGCTTTAAGGTCAAGCGTCCCCAACTGAAACTTCTTTAAAGTCCGAACCACTGAAGTCAAAAGTAAATGCCAGAGTGCCGGGACAGCTTCAAACTCTGAATAGAATCCTCCAGCAACCTATGCCCTTCAGCAACCTAAGCCCTCGAATCAAAAAGCACCTCATTTAGGCTTAGGGCCTTTAGGGTTTAGGGTTTAAGTTTAAGCCTTTCTACGATCCTACACCTTAAACTCTACAAATCCGATACATCCTAAAAGCCGAAACCCGAAACCGCCAGGGTGCCAGGAGAGCCATGGCTGACGTGCCCCAAACGCTGCGTGTCGAATCCTCCCGAAGCGGAGGGGAGTCGGTCTAGGTTTTAGGGTTTAGGGTTTAGGGGTTTAGGGGTTTAGGGTTTAGGGGTTTAGGGTTTAGGGTTTAGGGTTTAGGGGTGTAGGGTTTAGGGTTTAGGGTTGAGTTGTTGAGGGTCTTCAGGTTTAGGGATCTAAAGGGGATTTGTTTCAGGGTTCGGGGCTTGGGGTTTTGAATATCAGGGTTTAGGGTTCCCTGAACCCTAAACCCCGAACCCTAAGCCCTAAGGGTCTTAAGCTTTCGGCTGTAGGCTCGAATTAGGAGGGTCTCAAGGCTCAGTTAGGGCTTAGGGTTTAGGGTTTAGGATTTAGGGTTTAGGATCTTGAGGCCACGGCGAGGGTCTTAAACACCCAGTCCCCAGTACTTCAAGCTTCCAAAACCCTACTGTTGAGAGTTTAAATCCTGCGTTACCTTTGAGGACCCTAAACTATGGGAATGATGGTATCTTCCTTATTATGGGTAGTGCTGGATTTATATCATCAACCTTAGGGCCTAGATTCTAGATCCCAGGGCCAAAAGCTCCAAATCCGAAAGTGTCTGCGCCCTCTCCCCACAAAATCCGGGGTATCGAAAAGCTTTGCCTTGCCAAAAGCAGCATTTGGCTGCCAGCCATCCTCAGATGTCGAGTTGGGGTGTCGTCGTGCTTAGGGCTCGGCGGTTAGGGTTCAGGGTTTACGGAATACGGTTTCTTTTCTTCGGGCGTACAGCTGGGCTGCTGTTTAAGAGAGGTGACACCGCTTGCTGTCTAGTTTCAGCCGGCCCATTCCTGTCCAACTTAGGGGTGGATACCCTAGCCCGCTTAGCGTTCAGGGTTTAGGGGTTTTAGGCCTTGTAGGGTTTAGGGTTTAGTGGTCTAGGGGCTTAGGGTTTAGGACCACATATGCAGAAAGGCTGAAGGCTACCTTGCTAAACACATTGGATAGGCATGATAGGCCACCTCCCGAAACCTCAAACCCTAAGCCCAAGGCCACTTGAACTCCCAAACGCCAGGTAGACAGTTATCTGAAGAAGCTGTGGCCTCCCGGGGCTCCTTTTCATAAACCGTTCCACCTCCTCTTGATTGCAGGGCTTCCGGTCGATATTTTTTCAAGCTTCGGGTAGGGGCTTGGGGCTTTCCGGCTCCTATGTAGGTATGTATGTATGTATGTATGTATGTATGTAAGTATGCATGTTTGTATATCTGTATGTCTGTATGTGTGTATGTGTAAAAAAGTAAACTCATAAAAAACAAATTACATACATACATACATACATACATACATACATACGTACGTACGTACGTACATACCACAGACATGCAGACGGCACTATGACTCGCGGCATGGTGTATTATGTAATGCTCGAACGGAGCACGGAATATGCGATGCTGCGTTTGGCACGGAGAGACATATACATATATATATATATATCGACAAATTGAAGTCAAGTCGAAGGTCCTACGAATAGATGTTGCTATTTCGGAGCCAGGGTGCCGTGGAAACACCAATCTGGATCGGCGCGGAGCCTGCATTGCGAAACCTACCATACCCGAGCTACTGCCAGTGTATGCCAGTATTGCCAACACGCATGAAGGGGCGTGCTTCCACAATAAGGGCCTCTAGGGACCAGATCATCGGAAGCCTATGTCCCTTCCGAACAATTGCAGGCCCCACAAAAATCCCCCTTAGCCCTAAACACTAAACCATTTTGGCTGTAGCTCATACCCTTCCCCCACAACAGGCGAAACCCGAGGCTTATGCTCGGGGCGTAGGGCTGAGGACTACTGTTGGAGCACGGTGCAACCCTAAACCCTTAAGCTTAAGCCCTGAACTGTCGACAGTGGAGCCCTGCTCAACAACCCTCGCCGTCTGCCAGCGCCGTAATACAGGCGCCTGAAGAATTTGCACCGAGTTCGGGGGGTTTGTTAGTATACCATGTGCGATATTCTTACTAATCACTTGTATGTATTCAAACCTATGTAACATATACATACATACATACATACATACATACATACATACATACATACATACATACATACATACATACATACACACACACACACGCACAAGAACAGCGCTTGACAAAAAAACCTCTACATCCCTGGAAAAAATACAGGAAAACACCATAAAACCCTCTTAACCCTTGCAGAGCCCCACGTAAAAACCCTTGTAGAAGGCCCTAAACCCTAAACCCCACACAAACCCCAAACCCTAAACCCTAAGCCCCAAACCCTAAACCCTTGTAGAAGGCCCTTGCAAAGGCCCAGTGACGGAGAACCCGAGGACTTCCAAACCCAGGTGGCGCGCAGCGATGCACTCATTCCTGGGACGCCGACTAGGGTTTAGGGGGGTTCCTTACAGGGATCTATAAGGGCTCTATATTATGGGTAGTTCTCCCTTTTTGGGTTTAGGGTTTGGGGTCTAGGGTTTGGGGTTTAGGGTTTAGGGTTTGGGGTTCAGGGTTTAGGGTTTACGGATTATTGCGGGTGTCGAAAACTTGCAGAGGTCGAAGAAGGGTCGTAAAGGTGTTGCTATCATGTTTCTGCGGCCTGAGGGCTGCTTTAAGGAACAGGGTTTAGGGTTTCGGATATATACTTTAGGGCTTGGGGTTTGGACACCAAACTTGATGCTTGCTTTGGACTGGAAGCGTGGGAGTTTACAGATGTATAGGGACCCCTCATGATTGGAGAGTGTGATGCGTATATACGGAAGAATTCTAGTCCCAAGTAGCAGGACCCGGATTTTGAGGACCTGGGATGCTGCGACGACGCGAGCACCTCTCTATGCATCATATAATGCTCCAGATGGATAGTCCTCTAAACTCTACAAATCACAGTTTCTATGGATTTCCGACATACTTCGTCGCTCTGGCAATCAGAACACGAAAAGGGATCCTATACTGTTCGACTGCAGCCCCGTATGCCAAGCCTGAACTCCAAAGTGCTTGCCGCGCCCTGGAAGCCAGGAGAAACAAGTGGTCTCTAAGAAAGGACCATAAATGTCGAAGGGAAACATCAGACTGTCACCCTCATCCCAACACATCACTAGTTAGCCCCTAAACCGCGTTGAATTCTGGCTTCACTGTGCTCATCCCGACCGCGTCCACACCGAGCAGTCGCAGCATTCGAATCTCCGCCGGAGTCTCGTAGTTGGGGCCCAGCATGGCAGCGTAGACGCCGGAGCGCACCTAAAGTCGGTCGCGCTTCATGCCACGGCGAGTGGGAGGTTGCTGTTCCGACAATCTTTAAACCGATTTTAACCAAATAGCGCATAAGGACTATCGCCATGATGATGAAGAGAATGTTTACCAACAGTCAATGACCATCATCATAAGCACAGAACAACAACATTCATGCGACCTCCGGGTCAATCTCCTGCACGATCTTCCTCAGGCGCGGCGAGTAAGCATCGTTCATAGGAAAGAAGCGTGGCAGCTTCGGATCATTGCGACCGACACAAGGATTCTGAAATAGAAGGTTTATATGATCTGCAATCAGCATGAGATCGCCAGTGGGAAACTTCTTGTTGATGCCGCCGGCCGCATTGGTCAGGAGCAGTGTCCTGATGCCCCAGCTGTTCATCACGCGTACAGGAAAGGCAGATTCGTGGGCAGTGTAGCCTTCGTAGAGGTGGACCTCGGCCCGATAACAAGACTGCCCATAGGCCCCTAAGTAGTTCCTTTTTGCGGTTCATACTTAGAATCCTATAAGGTAATCCCCCAAAAGGAACTACTTAGGGGCCTATGGGTGAAGCTGCGCTGCCCCAGTGTTGCACAAAGCATCAAATAACGTGGTCTTCCTGGCCCCCAAGTCCCGGAGCCCCAAACCCCCACTCGTCGAACAACAAACTACACCGCTGGCCACAAATCACTTTGCAGTGCCGATCCAAAACCTTCGCATAACATGTTTGCCTGGTCGCAGGATAATGTCATCGTCGTCAGATCGACCATGAAAATATCAAGCACTCACGATGCTGCCGCTCATGAGGTAACGACGATGAGAAGCGCGACGGCGACGAGGGGAGAGGGATGAGTAGGATGCGGACAAGTATGACGACGACGATGATGATAATGATGCAAATTATGATAATGGGGAGTGTCTTGAAAGTGCATCTTGGAGGGCTTAAGGATGCTTCAGGTTACCCATAGGGTTCCATTTTATGGCTTATATTTAGAATCCTATAAGGACATCTCCAAAAAGGAAACGACTAAGAAGCCTAGGGGGTAATTGCAGGCCGAAGCGGCGCGTCCTTGCATCATCAGCACAGGCACTCCATGGAGATAACCATGCACAAAGCGACCGGCGTGGCCTGGCTGGGTCTAGTCTAACCTTTTAGGGGCCCACGTGCCCCAAACATGTTTAGGTTTTTGGGTTGTTGGGAGTAAGGGTTCCCTGCCTATGGGGTATCTCCATCCCCGGTTTGGATCAACCAGAGCTTGGGTTGGAGATTCATTCATAGTATAGAAGCGTCATTACTTAGACTTAGAATAGGCGTTGGATCTGTATTACGGTCTAGTATACCCCCATACGCGTATTTTAAGTATCGAGGCTTCAATGCGAAATATACACAATAACATGTATGTCGGAACCAGAACGGGCATTACGACCATCAGACCTCTATCGTATTCAGCAAAAAGGCGATGAGTCCTCATCGGCGGTGGAGTTCAGAGTTAGGGTTTAGGGTTTAGGGCTTGAGCATAGGGTTTCGGCTTAGGGTTTAGGGTTGGAGAGTTGCTGGTTGAGGGTTGAGGGTTCTGCGTTTCTGCAGAGCTACCAATGAGCACCCTTGCCTTAAGTTGTAGGCTGCTAAGAAATCTCGGTCCCTGTTGAGGCCATATTAAAAGTGATGAGTTTTGATCCTTATTAAGGTGTTATTATAACAAAAATGTAAAATTGTATCCAACAAGCCCAAAGGGTCCTAGGTACTGTTATGGGGGATACTTTCCCAAGTCATAATAACAGTTCCTAATACAGAAACCCTACATTCTACTATATAGGTACTTTGGACCCTTTGGGAAGGACCCAGGAATTGCTTTTCGTGTGACGGCTCAGTTTGCAAGGCCCATGCGGAGGATGGAGTTTCGGACAGGTAGGTGTACCGTACTTGAAGAAGCATCCGACGAACAGGGACCGGTTCTACGGAAGTTAGTATGAATATGAAAATACATGAAACTATATATATATATAATAAATATATATATACACACACATA